ATCTTACACCTCCTCCGAATTATCCGAATATTAAATAACGCCCAATTTCGTATTCCCTCGGGGGTAAATCCTGGACAATTTCAGGGACGGACGGGGAGGGATCTCGACGAGCGTTGGACCGTCGGCTTGGTTTTCCGAAAGCTGGAATTTCCAAGGGGGAGCCAAGTTAGCTTTTGTAAAAAAACACGGAGGGATTTGTAATGTTAACGAGGCGGTCGTCGGAAACTCGCGTCGGGTCTGGTTTGCGCATTAATTCGCGCATCCACCGGCGGATCCGCTTGCGGATTCGCGAGCGGAGCTTTCCACTCCTCGCGGGTCGAGCTTGCGTGAGTTTTGGGTCGGCGAGCTCCGTCAACATTTCGATGCGGACGACGTCGGGCAGATTTATTCGCCGAGAGATTTCGGTGGGAGGACGACGGCCTCCGAATTTCGATCGAGATGGAACGACCGAGGGAGAGGAGGGAGAGAGCCGTCCCGAAATAGAAAACACGAGGTTTCCGAGCGACCGTTGGGCACGCTTTGCCTTCGTTAAAGAAAGGAAATGAATTTCCCTGGCAGTCACCGACTCGTGACCGGCGACAGCGGTCGAGGACCCTCTGGCTGCGACGACGCGGTTGCACCGCAACTGCTACTGCAGTGCCGCCCCTGGTCGATGCAGGCGAGGATCCGTCCGGATGCGCCGAGGACCTTCCCTCTAAACTAAATAATTTCCCGGTTTAATAATCCCCAGAATTAACCGTCAACCGTGACATCTCAAACCCCCGAATCCTCCGCGACTGGACCCTAAGCATTATCCCTGTAATCATTCACACGATAAAACATCAGATTTTTATTCCGCCCCAAGGGACTTCATTTTCTGCCATTCGACACCTCCAAGAAGGGAAATATGCGAGACAAAGTATCGAGGAAAAGTGGATTTTTCCAATAATGGCCGGATTTTCGATTTTCCTTGCACCTGCATTTAAGTAACCTCGCGGTTGCCTCCGCTTCTTCGAGCACCCCGAGAAAATTGCACCAGGTAGAGATAGTCGACTCGGTGGATTGAGTGCACTTCCCGAGTCCGCCGTCTCGAGCTGACCTTAACGAGGGAAATGCTCTTCTCGAAGATCCGGTGAAAACACGGCCGATCGAGTTTTTCCCCTGCCAGATGCAGCTGCTCGTCAATTAGCCCGACTCGTTTCCAGCGGCTTTCCTCCACCGGAAGAGGTAACGAGGTGTCGCTCCTTTGGTCGTGCTAGACGGCTCCTAGGCCGCGTGTCCTGGAATTTAACAACCGCATCGCCCGGGAAATATAAGCACGGGGATGAACCGAGCGCGTTAGAAAATATGGAGACCGAATTCGCTGCAGGGGAAATTCGATGAATGCCGGACCTCGCGGTTAGTCGAAGTGGCCGACCAGTTTGCCACAATTAATACCGACTGGCTCGATAAATCGTCCAAGTAGCGTTCCCGGTTATGGGTGCTCATGGCCTCGGGCTGACGCAGCGTCGATTTTCACCAGCTGGCTGGAAAAGCGCTCCATCTGGATATCGTGTCCTTGTGCAATCGACTCCAGGACGGTCTTCGGCGACGCTTTCTCGCGATCGAGCGACCACCACTTGCCACATCGTCGGGAAAAAGTTCATCGCCAGTCCGGAGGCGGTGCGTTTCGGCCCGACAGGAGACCTTCCTTTTTCCCGGCGATATAGTCTCGCTGCACCTGCACCGAGTCTCGCAAGTGGCGAGGCGAATGTGGAACGCTCTAATTCGCCTTTAATCGACGCTGCTCTCCCCCCGAGAGCAGGTGCGCGTCAATTAGCGACTCGTTAACATTAATTCGACGCGAAAGGGCGAGTCGGCTTCCTGCGGTCGGCCGTCTTGCCTCGAGGCAGAGGGCTGAGTTCTCCCACGAGTCGCGATCTCAACCTGGGATCTTTCTCCTCCGCGAATCTTCTTATCACGGCTTTAAGGCCCTCACAAGACCCCGAAAATATTTATTTATTTTTTTTTTCAAATTCAGAATTTCGAAAATATAAACATTCCCTAGGTACCTTCGACTCACGTGCCAAAATATCAACCACGTCCGATATGCACCCTTGAAAAAGGTGCACTTTTAATTTACTGGCTCGGGGGTTTCGCCCCGCATTAAGGATGTCAGGAACGCGCGTTTCAGTAGTTTCCTGCGGGATGTAATTCAGGGTCCGATAATATTAGTCCGGCCGATTTTTTTCGGGGTTTCCGAGGTCTAACTCGGCGCTTCCGCCAACTGACTAAACACTGCCGGTATCGGTCGCGACGCGTGTTGTTCCGCGACTGTTATCACACCTGTGGACTCCAGGGTGGTGTATTTATAGGGGGTGGAAATTCACGGGTCGAGGGCGGCTCGCCCGGTCTCAATTACCTCCTCGATCTAATTAGCCCCTCCCTCGGGCTCTCTTCTCGCGCCTCCTCCGTGGGTTCTCCTCCAGGTTCCGCGTTAACTTCCGACCGGGTGTCGCGACCGAGAATAGAGGAGCTTCCGGGTGGTCGTGGACTATTTTCGGCAGGAAACGACGGGAGGTAGACAAGACGTCTTTATTAATGCCCTGCAGACAGCGTTATTAATGAACCCGAGGCTTCTCATCGGCGCTCGATTCCCGACCCCTGATGGGGGAGATCTCGCAAGCTCATCATGAATTCACGCTGTTCCGTACTTCCGGCAAATCCACATTAATAACCCGAAATTAAAATTTCTTATGCCCACTAGACCCGACAAGACGGTGAACCGTTCGCTTTAATTCTCCTCGGTCACCGCCGTTGGGTCTTAACTTATACAAGCCAATCTCGCTTTTTTCGCCTCCGAGCAATTTCGAGCCAATGCGACCGCGTCGAAAAATCCCGGCGGAAAAGCCGCGGTCGTCGACGTCGACGTCGCCTCGGACCCCGTAGGCGTCGCCGTCGGCGTAGACTCGCCAGCTAACGAGTTTATCCGGCGTTTGCCTCGCACCTCGTCGCACCTAGGCCGGGTCCAAATCTAGTCCAAACATTTGCGCGGCGTCGCGACGCCGCCCTGAGAATAACCCTAGGAATAACCTCCTAGGACCAGGCGAGGGCAACTGTGGCGCTATTCTCGATTTTCCCGGCGACGCTTTCCTCTTTCGCGACGCCTTCCTCTTCGGGACGCTCTCGGCCACGTTGCCCCAGGTCTGCCCAGGGATAAATCCCGGAAGAGAGGTCGAGATTTATATCGCGGGCATCTCGTTAGTCGAGATCACCGAGACGGAAACGGCGTCTCCGGCGTCTTCGCCTCGTACCCCCTCAACCTGCACTCTGACCCGCGAGATCCCGGGGAGCGTCAGAATTAGCCGTACCTGGGCACACCTGTGCAGGTACCAGAGGTCCTGGAAGTCCTCGGAGTCCCCTGGGAGCCGGGATTAAGGGGTGGAGGTAGATATCGAGCGCTACAAATGAGCGCCCGCTGCGATGGCAACCACTCGGACTCGGTGCCACGGAGGTGCATTTAATTACGAGGTACCAGCCACCTCCTGAATTGCGAGCGCGACCGGATGTCGAGATCTTGGTTCAGCCCCCAGCCCTGAAGAGACCCCTGAAAAATCGGGTAAAGGATACTCGCCATTGTCGAAGTTGGTTCTAACTGCGCTGCAATTTGAGTGGGTCTCAAGTAATCGCCCGGACGAGCTGGAATTGACCTTCTGTCTTGCTATCAGGAATTTTGAAAGAGATCGTTGCGATCGCTGTCCAGTTGGAAATCTGGCGGATGCGTGTACCGTTGCGGCCGCAAAGGCATTGGGATCGACTCAGGCGCTGACCTCTACCCACACGCGCATCCAGAGCAGGATATTTCCTCGTGGGCGGCGATGCAGGGGGCGTCTTTACGATTCAACGCCCGTTATGAACCGTTATCGGGTATACACAGGACTCCTAGTCCTTTTCTTCTATTATCGGAAAGCCCTGGGAACGCTAGTCCGAAGTGGACGACAGGATCCTCCCGACCTCCGAGTGGATAGATACCCGGGAGGGACCTGAAAAATATCCTGGGGTGGGAAAGAGACGCTTATCTCACGACGCTCATTTCTCCAGAATTGCGGAACTATCATCCTTTCGATGGTTGTTCATTATATTACTGGGTACATAATTTGTCAGTACCGCGATTAAACATTTGGTGGCTCGAAATTCACATGGATTATGAATGTGCAAGCGCAGTTCTACATTCTGGCGAGCCCGGTATTAACGTGCCAAGGTGCAGGCCTGCGTGCAGGTGCAGCCACCTGCCGGTTTAGGTTAGGATAGCCGCGGGGAGTTCAGGTGCCTCGGGTAGGTGCAGGTGCGGCCGTTTTTCCGAAGCACGACCTGCTTATCAAGGGAGTCACTATCGCGTTAGATTGTTCCTCGAGACGTCCATTCGACTTTAGGAAAAATTTTTTATTTTGCAAAGATCGTTAGGACGAATAATTAAGGGAGGAAGTCCGGCGATTACTCTGTCCGGTGATCCTCGATTATCGAGTGCAACTAACCCGGTCTAATTACTCTGGGTAACTCGAGGTACCATTTCCCTGCGTGGTTTGCCCCTGCCCTCGAGGCCATGGTCCCTCTTCGCGCCATTGTACCGAAATTTTTTTTACTCGAACACTTCCGGCTCTCGTTCCTTATCTATCAACCTGGGGTCTCGATAACGAGCCAGGTTTCGGATTGGAAATTGTTTTGAAACCTTAGCCGGCGCGCTGACGTGGTCCCTTGATAACCACTGCGTCTGCAACAGAAGTTGACGCGAAGTTTGTCAGGGGTCCTGACGCAGACAGGAAATGCCGTCCTCGAGGAGGCTAGTTCCGAATTCACGAATCCACTGGGGGGGGGGGGGGATTAATCGGGCTACAGCGGGATATGGGATATTTTATCGAGAGGTGGCGAGGTGACATAAAATCTGACATAACATTTGCAAACGTAAACCGAATCGCACGAGGGCCTGCGGCGCGACCGAGACGAAACTCGAGAATCCTGAGACGGGAATTGTCAACCCACAGGGATGGACGACCACGAGATCCAGTCGACCGTGGAGTCCATTCTCGGACCAGGGGTAAAGGTGGTAGATTGCGAGAAGAAATCTTGCGTTCGGGAGGAGGAGGTCCTCCTGATCAACGGCGTCCCGATCGCCCTGGAGGGACCCGACGGGATCGCCATCAGAGAGGCCATGGTCACCGGCCAAGTGCCTCCTTGCGACCTGCTCAACCAGCTCCTCGTCAAGGCAGGGATACTTAGGTAGCGCCGAAAAATCGACACTCTCCCTTTGCCTAAAAATTCACCTGAACTCAGCCTCCCTCCACGAGCTTGCTTCGGTCTCTTCGCCATCAGGATCTTTTTCCATTTCCCTGGAATCTTTGAAAATGATTAATCAAGGACCAAGCGACCCAGGTTATCTCTTGATTCCTGAAGAGGACATCGGAGCAAGCGTTCCTCTTCCAGCTCCAAGAATCCCTGTACCACCTTCCTGTGTCCTGGAAACGTCGATCCTTCGGCGCTGTAAAGAAGGTTGCACTTGTCAAAGGGCCCCGGTGCGGTTGGAGACCTCGTTGAGCGTCAAGTCGTCGATCGTGACGAGAGAGGAGGTGACGGTAGCGAGAGGTGGAAAGATCGTCGACGAGAGGAGTCGGGAGACCAAGGAGAACAACTGCTATGCCTCCTCGACCAGCGAGATCTGGGAGCCGGTGGGCATCATCCATCGTCCTAGGAACGTAAAGCCTTTCGATAGTTCTGACGACTCGAGGCCCAACTCGAACGCCAGCTCCGACCAGGGGTACACGACCAACACCAGCAGAGACCAGATCCTGAGGGAACGAGGAGGCGCCGCCACCATGGTCGGCTGCCCCATCTGCGAGGATAGCGACCCCGAGTGCTCCAGGAGGTGTCTGGGAGCTTTGGCGGCTCTGGGGTCCACCAAGGTCCCCGGGGTCCAGAGCACTACTTCAGCGGTAAGCTCATCTTCGATCGAGGGGTAACACTCCTCGAATCAACGTCGATCTCCTCAGGTGCGCGGTAATCTCGTTTCATGGGACGAGATAAAAATGACCAAAATATAAAAACAAACAAATTTTGCTCGTCGCTGGAAAAGTGACCTCTTCGAGGTGACGGAAATCTGGAAAATCGTGCAATGGGATGGTTACATTGAGGACGGATTTGATTTTTTTTTTTTTTCCTAATCAGTGGGTGCTAGTTAGAGGACGTCGACGGGTACTTTCAGAAAGAGTGAAACAAGCTATGTCGATGGGAATAACGAAATTGGCGCGTTTGCTAGAATAACGGTCTCTTCCTTCTCTCTTCCGCGGATCGGCACGAATCGGCCAGGAGGAAAAAGAGCGTCGTACGAGCGGGGCATAAACGAGCTCGAGTCGCCGTATAAGTTGCTTTGTCGGCTCATTCGCCGCCAAGTTACGAGCTATGTCGGGAGCTCTGACCTAGTGCGACTGGAATAATTGTCGCTCGCAGTTTCCGATCCCCGTGGAAAGTTCATGGAACGCGAAAAAGCTCTCTCGCGCCGCGACTCGCGGGACGCCCTTTATTCCCCCGGGTTTTTTCCCCACCGATTGTTCCATAAAATTTTTCAAAAATACCGGCGCTACCGGGAAGCATTATCACAGCCCCTGGGAATTTCATGCCTGGGCAAAAAAAATCCGATTTCTGGGAATTACCGACGAGAGCCTCTTTCATCGCGGACGTCCGCGAGCAGACCCTACAAGTGAAAGCGGAACGGTCGTTCGCTCAGATACCGATTATTTCTCCTCCTAGGGGCTTTTCTATTTTTTTCTCGAGTGGGAAGATTCATCGCTCGACGCGGATGAGATTTACGAGAATTGCCACATCTTTCTTTTTTGTCGGGCATTTTTTCTTTTCCCTCAACTTTTCCGTCGTTGCGTGTCGGCGCGCTCGTACTTCCTCCCATCGGACTCCGATCGATAGGAGTGAGAGGTTTGCGAATAAATTATTTCTAAGCGACCTCGGTGGGGGGCACATCTGTACTTAATGATCCGAGTTTTTCCCCGGAGTCGTATCAGAATGCAAAGGTGAGTCAATGGAAGGGAAGCGAGAGCTCGGCTCGTTTTCCGCAAGAACTCTTTGACTATCCCGGTCGTTCGTGCCTCGAACCCCGAGCAACTCGTACAGTCCTCATACGGGAATGGTGACTGTTACTCGGCCTTTTTATCCGCCCCCCGGTCGATAAACGGCGGATAATGTACCTCGAACTACAATGAAGAAACTCGGGGACAGCCTCGTGCATGACCAAGTCATTCCATGTTTTGCCAGACAGGCTCTCGACTAGCTAGACCACTTTTTCGCCCGCTCGAGATTTCCAGCAAATTCCAATTCATTCTAAAAGTGCAAGGAATTAACAACCTCGCCATTTTGAGTAATATTCAATATCGATTATTCGGATCGGCAAGAGTTTGTCATCGGTACTTGGAAAATTCATTCAGTTTCCTATGATAGGTCCAACGCGTTACCTACTCTCGAGATCTAGCCTGGAAATCTTCTTTTGTAGGTAAACGGCTCTTGTCGGTATGGCAGGAATTGTACATCACCAGGGATAGGAAAGTACCGACTCGTTCAGTTCCCTGCAGTCGGTGCTAAGGCGATATCAGAGATGAGTTGGGAGATTGCTTACGGGCAGGATCGTGCGATCGCATCCTGTGCTGCCCTCTGGTTTCGTACGTTAGCTTTCACCGTTTCTTGCCCCCAAGGGCGGCGCAACGAA